AGGTTAGAAAGTTATCCCCTAGTGACCTCCCCCAAAAGCTTTCCATATAAAAAAGAAATCATTTCACATATATATAAGCTTATATTTTATAGATATAAAACTAAAATTTCAACGATACACATATATGTATGTTTATGTATGTATGTAAAATGGATGAGCATATATACAAATATATATACACCATGCACAGATATACACACACATACACACACACACACACACACACACACAATTTCCCCAGTACTTCATTTACACTTGCTAAATCTCTCTATCCAAGCCTTTTGGAAAAGGATTAGATACGAGTCCCTAATTTAGGGGCCGAATTTTTTTGAGCTTTAAATCTGGGTTGAGGGCAGCCCTGGTGGCACAGCGGTTTAGCACTGCCTGCAGCCCGGGGTATGATCCTGGAGACCCGGGATCGAGTCCCACATCGGGTTCCCTGCATGGAGCCTGCTTCTCCCTCTGCCTGTGTCTCTGCCTCTGTGTGTGTGTGTGTGTGTGTGTGTCTCTATGAATAAATAAATAAAAATATTTTTATAAATAAATAAATAAATCTGGGTTGAGTATCCTCTTCACTATGAATGGTCACTGAGCCAGAAAAAAAATCAATAAATGCATAGATAGATATAAATACAGAGAAATTTTAAAGGAAGTTAACCCAAATGGTAATTTTAAATAAAAATAGAGGTGATCAAATTCTATTCAACAAATAATAGTTTGGATTCCATATCATAGCTGAATGGAAAAGAGAAATAATGAGGAAAAAGAAAAAATATCAGGCAGATGGATATTTTAAAAATCCCTTAGGAAGCATGTATCAAGCACCCACCATACCAAGCATTGTCTCAAGCTTTCTCAACTTCAGCACCATTGATATTTTGGACCAGATAAGTTTTGTGGGAACTGTTCTGAGCATCATAAGATGTTTAGCAGAGTCCCTGGCATCCAGTGACTAGATGCCAGCAGCAAGTCTTCAAGTTGTGACAACTAAAATGTCTCCAGCCTTGCCAAATGTCCTCAGTGCGGGGGGAAATCACTGTCGGTTGAGACCCTCCCCCCTGGGCTATATATACAAAAATGGTGTCTGCATGCCAGTTGCAATTTTTGTTTTATGTTCCTTAAGAACAAGCAATCCTTAAGACCTTGGTGCATTATCTGGTGTGTAGCTCATTAGACCTCTTCTTCCATTGCCAGACTACCATCATGCCTTCCCCTCTGAGTTTTGACCTTGTGAGGGGGAGGCAGCAGGAGCCAGTTCCATACTCTGTTACTCTTGTTCCCGTTCCTTCCACTGGCATTCTGATGTCAGAGAGCTTTTCTAGAACGACAAATCTCTAACATTTATCTTTTGATGTTATTTATATTGTCCACAAATAATATACAGATATATCAAATCAACATGTAACAATAGGGTATAGAGTTTTGCATTGAAGTGAGAATCAGGAAATGCCATCTATCAGTAAGCATCTCTGGTAGAGCTTTGTGATTCTAAGCCAAGAGGCTTCCTTATTATCCTATATAAATGACAACTGGCTGTAACTAGATGATAAAGAACAGAAAAAGGATGTTTGTTTGTTTCTGCGGTTTTCATAAACGTGTCATTTGACTGCAACCTTATGTTAAAGGGTCTTTCACCCAGTGACTTGAAAACCTTCAAAAACATTCATTAGCAGATACTTTGATGAGGTTAGCAGGCTTTCAACCTGATGCTCTTCCCATACTAGTCTGAAGACATCCATGAGAATCACGTGGCATTACATTATCCATCAGGCCTCTCCACAGAGGGAAGCAACTGCAAATACCAGTACATTTGGCCAAAACGAACAAGAATCTGTCTCTGTGCCCCAGCTATAGAAAGGGGCAAAAACAGGAGGAAACTAGCATTTGCTGAATGCTTGCTATTTCTTTTATTCTTTGTTAAACCCTGTGAAGTAGTAACACTGCCCAGATCTATAAATGTTTAATGGCTCCAGAATTCAGTCCTTGGAAGCCCTGACTTTCTAGGAAATCTTATTCACTCCTATGGCTATAAGTAACCAACTCCCAAATTTATATTCAAACCCAGACTTCTCTGAGCTCTCGACTTTTATATCTAGTTGTTTTAACCTCATCACCATAGACTGTCTCGAAGTTACCACATCCCCCACCAATCCCCTTTCTTCTCACTCCCAGATTTCTGTCTGACCAATTGTATTCACATCTTCCCAGTTATTCACAAACACTAGAATCACCCTTGATATCTCTCTTTCTCTCCCAGCCCACATGCTATGTATCAACAAATCCTGACAACTCTTCCTTCAAAATATTTCCAGAATATCTAATCACTTCTCATCCTTCTACCAGCAACTGCCTGGAATAAGCCACTTTCATGGAAGTATGACAACTGACCTCCATGTTTCCCCCTTGCACTCCCCACCCCCAGTCTATTCTCCACACACCAGCCAGTGTAATTGGTTGAATTTCAGGTCATAACACATTTTTCCTCTGCTCAGGCCTCCCTCATGGTTCCCCAAAGGCCTCACTGTGCATGAGGTCCCATATGATCTAGTCACCTGTCGCCTCTCTGACTTCATTTCTCACCACTGTTCTCCTTCCCTGTGCTCTTACTTTGGGTTTGGTCATTACTCTTCCTTCTCTTGGAAGCACACTTCCCCTGAAACCCTCATTCATCCTTCTCTCGCTTCTTTCATGTCTTTGCTCAAATGACACTTTATCCGTTAGCCTCTCCCTGACCACACTGTGTAAATAATGCCCCCCCTCCCGAGGACAAAGTTTAGCCCTGGCCTCTTTTTGTATAGCTGCAAGTAGGAATCTTTTTTTTTTGAATCACTCGAGGGATAGAAAAAGAAAAACAAAGCAAAAAAGATGAATATGCAACAGAAATTGTATGTGGCCTGCAGAACCTAAGATATTTACTATCTGGCCCTTCATAGAAAAGGTTGCCAGCCCTACTGTGTCCTCCCACTAGAATGTAAACTCCTTGAAGGCAGGAAATTTGTTTTGTTTACTATCATATCCCCAGCAGATAGGATTGTGCCTGGTACAAAATAGAGACTCGACAAATATTTTTATATGAATGAACAAACGAATGAGTGAATAAATGAATGAATGAATGAATGAAGATAAGCTTAGTAAGGTCTGCTGACTTGTCCAGGGTCACACAGGAAGTTGGAAGATGAACCAGTATTTAAACCCAGATCCATCTGGTTCCACAGGTGAACCATGCAGTCCAAGAGCCACTTGCAGCAATGATTGGAACGCCCTTGTTTTCTCAAAGGCACCTCATTAGACTTTACTATTGGATAAAGAACTCTGTGAGACAGAGTGTGGAAGGAGAAAGAGACACAGAATATTGCAGAAAACCTTTAATAATTATACCATGTTAATGCTTAGATCTGATATCAACCGTATTCACTGTGCTTTCATACACATCACCTCTTCTTGGCTTCACCAAATTTCTATATAAAGTAAGGCAAGTACTCTGTTCTCATGGTTCATGTTACAAAACCAAGTTTCAGGGAAGTTAAAGGAATCAGTTCTCACAAATAGTGAATAGCAGAAACAGAATAATTCATATCTATCACTTTCCACTCTACCAACCAACATATATCCCCATAGCTCTACTGATGGGCAAATGTGCTACCATGGATGGAGATAGATTTTACTAGGATAACAGATAGACCTCGGTAACTTCTAAAAAACCAAAATACTACACTTATTTGGAGTTCTATGATACCTGAGAAAACTTCCTTAGCTTCAAATAGCCAATCACCGATGGCCAGAGGCAGCAAGAAAGTCAGAACTTTGAAACTGTAGCAATGAGTAAGAGAATGGTCAAACAGACCATACCCTGGGCTATTATTGGTGTGACAATAGCACAAGATTTTTGAGCTGCCATATCCAGTGTCAGCTTTAAGAAGGAAGCCAAGAAAATGGACAATTGCCATAGCAGATGCAAATACCCATGGCTGTCACCTCCTAGACGAGCTGCTCTATTTAATCAGCCATCCCTTGAGGCAGCTGACTTTAGAGTTTAGGATATTTGGCTCAGAAACCACGTATTTCATATTTCGTGGCAGCCAAGGGCCGCCTTACTAACTGCATGAGTGCCAGTGGCTGTGTTTTTATACAAGACAGAGCTCATGACACCACACCCCAGTGTTAACTTGAACCTGACATGCAGCTGTACTCTGGTCAAGATTCCAGCTCAGAATGTTTGCAATAATCCAATTTTGAATGTCTGTCTCTTTGTCTTATAAATTCCCTTATACTTCATCAGGCCATGTGTGCCTTTTTTTTCCCCCAGAAAATGAAGTCTCTGCAACAGCAACAGCTGAGGCCACTTATCCTATATTTTGTCCATTTCTCATCTCTACCCTACTCAATATAATATGGCACAATTCTTCGGAAACTGTGAAATTAAAATGAAGTATCATTTTCAGTCTTAGTATACACAGGATTTTGAAGAGATAGTTTTGATTATTAAATTAAGCCTAAATATTATAATCTTACAAAGTGTTGATTGGCTAGAAAAAATAATTATAATGCTTTCTCCAAATAATTTATATGAAGACATGGGTAAGAAAAATTGATGAGCTATAAAATAACTATGGATGGACCATTCAGGAAAGGATGAACCATTCCTTCTGGTTCAACTTTAAACTTAAGTCTCTTTATAAAAGAAATTTCTCTAATTACTTGGAAATAACATCAGTAATTACAATGAAGCAAATGAGGCAAGTTTCAAACACTTTACTTAAGAATTCCTTCTGTCGAAATTTTTGTTTTAAACTTGAATTGAAGATTGTTAAATCAAAGCCAGGTGTTAGGTACCTTCCATGTACTAAGTATGATCGCTAGTGTGATGCTGTGTTCTTAAAAGGTATCTGGATATTCACATGCAATATTCCAAGGAAAGTGTTTATATGGAGAAGATAGACTTGGGAACTTTGCATCTGTACTTCCTGAAGTGATGAAAAACATTGTCTTTCTGTTGTCAGAATTGAGAAAGAGATCCAAGATCTTGAAAAGGCTGAGCTGCAAATCTCAAACAATGAAGAGGCAATTTTAAAGAAACTAAAATCAGTTGAGAGGACAACAGAAGACATAATAAGGGTGAGCATTAACATTTAAAATTATAAACCCCTCCCAGAATGAGTCCACAATTAGTATATCATTCTCTAAACTATATCCACATCTAGAATTCATGTTTTAAACTGTATTAGTCATGGAGAACTCTTTTTTCTTATAGTCTGTGAAGGTGGAAAAGGAAGAAACTTCAGAAGGTATGTTTTCGAGCAGTCTATGATATTTTTTAATAAATCCATGGAAATTTTTCCCATTACTGTAAATATATCCTAAATGTATTTTGAATTAATAATAATTTTACAGAGTCAATCGAAGACATCTATGCTAACATCCCTGACCTTCCGAAATCCTATGTGCCTTCCAGATTAAGGAAGGAAAGAAATGAAGGAACAGAAGATGATGAACAAAACAGAAAAGGTATGTGGAAAATCTGTACCCAAAGGCAGGTTCTCATTCAGATTTTACAATGTTAGATACAGCAACTTGCTGTGACATCTGATGCTTCAGGTGAAGCAGTGGTCCATTTTACAAAGTTCCATGAGGTATTTGCATCGCTTGCATAGGTATGGATAATGGGGTTATAGTACTCATGCAAACGAGGTAGGCACAAATAAGAGAAAGGCTTCAAAGAGCCAAACTCTTAAAAGCAAAGCTCCACTGCTCAAAAATCTCTATCCCCAAGTATTCCATCTAGTAGAAACTCTCTTGGGTCACTAAGATCCTTTATGAAAATGAAAGTATCCCCTTGAGAAGGTTAGACATGATTTAACCCCCATGTGGGAATGATTTTCATAAAACTTATACTTCAAAGCCTCTGGACAAAATGAAGGCTTACCTGGGAGCAGAAAGGGAAGCTTTGAAGTTTAGACTAGAAAAGAAAGCCACACTCTATATGTATCAAGCAGTCATCCATTTAAATATTCAACAGATATTTAGTGATCACATACCACAAGGCAAGCTCAATTCTTGCAGTAATCTTAGAGTGGTGAATAAAACAGCAATAATCTCTGCCCTCTTGGGGCTGACATTCTCAAGGAGAAAACATTCCCTAAATTACGTAAAATACATCATATTAGGGTGTGAAAATAAAGACTAAAGCAGAGGAAGGGGACAGGGAGAGAGGGGCGCTGTTTTAGTTGGGTAGCCAGGGAAGGCCAAGAACCACCAGGGGACCAAGGAGGAGGTATGAAATCCAAGATGGTCCAAAAAGGGAGGCAGGAGGTCACAATAGAAGTAAGCGCTGCCATGTTGTCATTTGGCCCAGATTCCTATTGGCTCTTTTTTTTTTTTCAGAGAATTAATCCATTTTATTTTTTAATAATAAATTTATTTTTTATTGGTGTTCAATTTGCCAACATACAGAATAACACCCACTGCTCATCCTGTCAAGTGCCCCCCTTAGTGCCTGCCACCCAATCACCCCCACCCCCCGCCCTCCTCCCCTTCCACCACCCCTAGTTCGTTTCCCAGAGTTAGGAGTCCTCCATGTTCTGTCTCCCTTTCTGATATTTCCTACCCATTTCTTCTCTCTTCCCCTCTATTCCCTTTCACTATTATTTATATTCCCCAAATGAATGAGACCATATAATGTTTGTCCTTCTCCAATTGACTTATTTCACTCAGCATAATACCCTCCAGTTCCATCCATGTCGAAGCAAATGGTGAGTATTTGTCATTTCTAATGGCTGAGGAATATTCCACTGTATACATAGACCACATCTTTATCTGTTCATCTTTCGATGGACACCAAGTCTCCTTCCACAGTTTGGCTATTGTGGACATTGCTGCTATAAACATCGGGGTGCAGGTGTCCCGGAGTTTCATTGCATCTGTATCTTTGGGGTAAATCCCCAGCAGTGCAATTGCTGGATCGTGGGGCAGGTCTAGTTTTAACTCTTTGAGGAACCTCCACACAGTTGGTGGGAATGTGAAATGGTTCAGCCACCCTATTGGCTCTTAAAACTCCAGTCATAAGGAATTTGCCTGAGCCATGAGGCAGAGCTCAACTACCCAGCGCTCTCTAGATTGGTTGTTTTCGGTTGAGCTGATATTGCTCTATTTTTTTCCTCCTACCTGAATATTGGAGTAAAAGAGACAGCAACAGGAGGCAGGAGGAGAAGCATGTGATTCTAGCCTTCCTCCCCGCTCTGCATTGAAACAAGCTCCCTGCTGGGAGAACTTTAGAACGCTCCTCTGTAATTTCGGCAGGCTACTGGTCCACACAGCAAGGATGTAACTAAATAAAATATACCGTGCTGGACCTTTTACCTGTTATAATGCCCAGGGCCATGTATTCCTCCCAACAAAGAGGTTTGTTGCCTCCCATTGAATAATGTAAGAATATAACCCGTCTTGTCAGATTTATTAGTTACAAATAGAATATTTTTTGGTTTCCCAATGAAGGTCTTTGCTATTTGGAATAATCAGCTTCTCTTCCCCAACCAGGTTTTCAATCCCATTTTGCAGTATTTCCGTGCATCCTTACATAGAAACCTATGTCATTACAGGGTTGACCATTATACAACTAATGAATAAAATCAAAACTTTTAAGAACCAACAACAAAATCTCACATAAGAGAATATCAAAGAGGGACACCTCGATGGCTCAGTGATTGAGCATCTGCCTTTAGCTCAGGGCGTGATCCCAGGGTCGGGGATTGAGTCCCACATCAGGCTCCTTGTAGGGAGCCTGCTTCTCCCTCTGCCTGTGTCTCTGTGTCTCTCTCTGTGTGTCTCTCATGATTAATAAATAAATCTTTAAAAAAAAGAATATCAAGAGCATAATTAGCATAAAAATACACTGTGAAATCAGGCTACTTCATAAGTAGCCTTCATAAGAAAAAAAGTTTAATTAAATCAGAGATCAGGAAAAAAATTAAAAATGAATTAAAAAAATAAAAATAAAAATAAAAAATCAGAGATCAGGGGCACCTGGGTGGCTCAGTGGTTGAGCATCTGCCTTTGGCTCAGGTCGTGATCCCAGGTTCCTGGGATCAAATTCCGCATCAGGCTTCTCACAGGGAGAAGCACTTCCCTCTGCCTATGGCTCTGACTCTGTGTGTCTCTCATAAATAAAGAAATAAAATCTTTTAAATAAATAAAAGATCAAATTTCTCTCTCAACAGCTTTGTATGCCATGGAAATTAAAGTTGAAAAAGACTTGAAAACTGGAGAAAGTACAGTCCTGTCTTCAATACCTCTCCCATCAGATGACTTTAAAGGTACAGGAATAAAAGTTTACGATGACGGGCAAAAGTCAGTATATGCAGTAAGCTCTAATCATGGGGCAGCATACAATGGCACCGATGGCCTGGCACCAGTTGAGGTGGAGGAACTTTTGAGACAAGCCTCCGAGAGAAACTCTAAATCCCCAACAGAGTATCATGAGCCTGTCTATGCCAATCCATTTGGCAGGCCTACAACTCCACAGAGGGAAAAGGTAACTCCTGGTCCAAACTTTCAAGAAAGGATAAAGATGAAAGCTAATGGACTAGGTAATGATATGAGTGAATCCATGCTCAAAATGGACAATGGGCTTTCAGAGGAGAGGGACAACAGCCTCAATCATATCAGCCCCGTTCGGCCAGTACCTCAACCCCGATCAATGACTCAACAAGCAGAGGAGATGCCGCACACCCAACAAAAGAGGCTGATGACTCCTTGGGAAGAATCAAATGTGATGCAGGACAAATATTTGGCTTCTCCAAAGGCAAGACTGAGTCCCAGTGAACCACTAGCTGGGAAGTCAAACCACCAGGATTCTTCTGCTTGCCAGGAGGATGAGGAAGATATTAGATATAATATCGTTCATTCCCTGCCTTCTGATATGGCTGATTCAGAACCTGTGACGATGATTTTCATGGGGTATCAGCAGGCAGAAGACAACGAAGAAGAAAAGAAGCTTCTGACAGGGTATGACGGGATCATCCATGCCGAGCTGGTTGTGATTGATGATGAGGAGGAGGAGGCTGAAGGAGAAGCTGAGAAACCATCCTACCATGCCGTGGCTCCCTGCAGTAAGGTTTACCAGCCTGCCACACCAACACCACTTCCTAGAAAGAGATCAGAGATGAAGCCCTATGAAAACACAAGCCACAGATCTCCCCACAAAAATTCCATATCCCGGAAAGAGCAAGAAGAAAGCTTAGGCAGCCCTGCTCAACAATGTCCACTTGACGTTCAGATAGCCGGAGACGGGACCGAAGATCCATCCTTAACAGGTATTGAGAATAACAAGGCTTGCCACTGCTGTTTAATCGTGTGACAATCTTCCTTTTGCATTGTTAACAAATCCTTCTGCTTTCAGCTTTTTTTTTTTTTTGATCACCCACAAACTAATACACGCTAAGGGCTTTTTTTATTGTTATTATTCATCTGACCTGAATTATTGTTGCCATAACTAAAGTAAGTCACTTCAAAAGATAAAATGAAAAAACTATTGTTGCCTTATTTGGATACTGCATTGATTGACCTTAGAAACTTGAAATTTGTCTTCTGTCACAGTGTGGTACTGTTTGTGAATGTGTTTGGATCACTAATATGTTGGGTCATCTATATCATGTCTTTTCCCACCAGAATCTGAGGCCAGCTACTTGTTTGTGCCTTTTATTTAAACTTCTTACCTAAGTTAACAAGTTGCCTTAATTTTGCAAGAAAAAAAACAAGAGACAAATTTTTTTTTCAGTGTGATATTTTATTACTTTGCTATATCTTGTTTCTCTATACTTTTATAGTTTAACTTTATTTCCTTAATTTTCTACATTTTGAAACAGAATGTCAATTTATCTTACATTATCTATAATATTTAACTTTCCATAATCTTCCTGAACTTAGTGATTTTTTTCTATTTTATATATATTCACATTTCTCATTCTCTATAAAGTTTTATAGCTATCTAGCTTTTTTAGTATTAAATGGAAAAAGTAACACTTTTTTCTAGAAAAGTAACCGCTCATCAATTTAAATTCCTTGTTATCACTTGAATATTATATCCTATTTCTCATTTACAAAAAAATAAATAAATAGGAGCCCGATAAAATCAAGTATAATAGCTGTACTTAACCTTAGCTAAAGACCTATGTCAAATTACCCAGACATATAGGCTCTGGATGTGTGAATGGGATAGTAATTTTAATGTTTCTAATGGAAGGATTCTTGTTAAAAAGCAATAAATATTACACCCCAGCTAATTCAGCAAGCAGAACCTGATAATTCTATAGAAGTGTGGCAGTACTTGCACAATTCAGGAAGGGTTCTTCTGCAACCCATATGCCCAATACTGGATTGCCAATAATACAATAAAATTAGCCTCTTCCATTCTTTTAAGTAAATTACACTTACACCAAAATTTTAATTATCTGGAGAATTTCTAACCTCTTGGTAAGTGTACAGTTATCTTCCTAAATCAGAATTGAATGATGTGTCCCCAACAATGAAAACCTACTAAAATGAAAACCTCCTTTCCGTTTTGAGAATGAATTTAGTTTGCTGATCAAATTGTGCATCTTAAATTCATTTTTCAAACAACAACACAGTAGACCTAGAAAAGATAAACACACTGACTATGGTCAAGAGCAGGAACATTACCAAGCATAAAACCTTCCATCTTTTACCTTGGATGTTAGCCACCTCCTCCCAAATGCCCTTACTCCTTCTCCCCTACCCATGTCAACACATTTACCCCATAGAAAAAGACAGGAAGTGACTAACATTTCCAGACAACACTAATCATGCCACTGAACTAACATAATGAAAACAGGAAGACCTTTTCCAGACAAAGTAACAATACAAAGTTCCGTACTATCAATCAAAGCATATTATAAACAGAATGCTCCAAATTCCTTACCTTCCATCATGATATTGTTTTACATTCCTGTTTTCCAATTCAGTGCATGGATCACAGAAATGATATTCTTGTAATGGGCTTTTAAAATAAGCATACCATATTGACATATGTCCTCACCCTCACAAGGCACCCATAGAAATATATAGCCACCTATGCAGTTCAATTTCACAAGCACCACATAGGTTGAGTGTCTCCCCCAACACCCCATAAATGCTTCTTGACACCTGAAACTCCATCATTTCAGTAAGTTCCTTTATTCATGGTCCCCTACTAAATATAAATATATTAGTAGGCATAATAATTAAGAATTACTAGTCTTGGTGTAAATATTGTTATGAGAGCCTTATCTAAGAGCAATTTTGAACTTGGAAAAGAGCACAAAGGAGGAAGAAAAGGGGGGGAAAGTGGAGCTTGGAGATCCAGATGTCTTAGTTAAAACCCTTGAACAGGTTAAGACATGACAAGAAAATTCAGCAAAGTTATGTCCATCTGCTAATGTAAATATAACAGGATCATGTTCTAAAGTACAGCTCAATGCCAGATACATCCACCAATGAGTGGCCCCAATAACTTTTTACTGGGATTCCACTACTATTCCCACCAACTAGGCAGCTGGCTTTCTTTGGTAGTCCTCACCAACCTACTCTTGTACTTCTAGCTCTATTCACCCCTCTTAGATATGTCAGCAGCATTTCAGGGTGATGGAGGTAGGGAACTTCAGCTCCGAGGGATTCACACACTTCTGGTGTCAAAATTGCCAACGTGTAGCAATCATTAGGAGCCAAGGAATACTGAGAATAAGGAGGCAAGCTCTCTTCCACCAAGTTCAACCAGCCAAAACTATGTGTCTGAATTGCTGTGGGAGGAAGAAGTAAAGAGCAGAAAAGAGCAGAAAGGAGAAATAAAAGCAAGAGCTGATGGCCCAGATTCTTTTTAACCTGGTATCCCTTCCTGTTGCCAATATACTCTAGCTCCACACATCTCCTTAAAACCCACACCATCTACTTGCCATAGGTCTAAAGAAAAAAAAAATAGCAGATTCTAGCAATCTAGAATTCTTTTTTTTTTCCCTTAAGAAATGGGACAATGAGCTACTGCATTACCTCACTCCTGAGGATGTGCACATCTAGGATGTCCTTCAAGAACTCCATTAAAAAAAAAAACTCCATTAAATGTCCACAGCACAAAGGCTGTGTCTGATCTCCTAAATCTCAAGTTGAGGAATAACTGTAAGGAGGAAGACTTTGTCCCTGCCTTAAAAGAGACCTTTTAAAAGTCCCTTAAAATGGACTTTTCCCCTGCCCTCTTTTTTATTATGGCCAAGGTAGATATCCATAAAATCCAAGAGTAGAAAATGTAAAGCTTTGCCTTCTGCCTTAAGTTCACCTCCTGCTGTAGAAATACAGCCCTCTCCTCAGGCTTCACCATCCAACATCTCCTGGCAGTAGACACCATCTTCCTGGCTACAGAGCAAAGGAAATTCTCTCAGTTGGTCCTAAATTCGAGAAAATATCCATGACTCTGACATTAGAAATGACCATTTCCCATAAGGTTCCACAGGAAAGAATGCTCCTTGACTTCTTTTAAATGAAAACATTTCAAATAAGTAGAATAAGAATAAAAATTATCATAGTCTTGTTACAGTATTGGATCCCTCCATCCCTTCTCGTATTTGTGAAAAAAAGCTCCTTAGAGATGGGGGTCATTTCATTTGTTAATACACAACTAATTATATGGCTGGAAAATGAGAGAATATGTAGTGCCTTGAAAGCATCTTTCAACTTTTGAAACATGACCAAGGCAGCCATACTCTGAAGTCCTAAGTATTAAAGGCATGATACCAGAACACTGGAGGAGTGCTATGAATTCTAAATCTATAAAAATGTTTTCTACATCACATTTATCATTAGCAGTGGAATATGCTCAAAAGATGTATTGTCTTTTGAAAGTATACTTATATCCTGACAAAGACATAATTTTATAATTACTCCAACTCTTAATAACTGGTCAACATTTTTTCCACTCACAAAGAAATATGTTTTTGTCCTTCTATATCCAAGGATGGAGCTCCTTGGGTAAGCAAGTTGGATGACTTAAATGATAACTCAACCATGAATTAAAGTTTATGTCAGTGCTTTTCTTATTTTTAGTAGTGCATAACTCAGAAATATGCACAAAACATAGTCATTGATGTGTAGGAATTTATCTAAAGCTAATAATGAAAATCGCACATTAATCTATATTTACTCAACTTATGCTGTGTTTGTCCTACTAATTTTTCTAATCTTTATAGAAATTAGGTTCCTTCTAGTTCTGAACCTGCTTCAGCCCTAGTTAACCATAGCTTATCATTTCTACTATCTTTTTGTGCTACTAAAACAATGCTCACATTGTTGGATAAAATCATCTGAGGTATGTTTCAAACTTTCCTGCATTCTATGAAATGGTCATTTAGAGTGAAAACTAAAGCTTTTTTTTAATAACTATTTTTTTTTAATTTTCAGCTTTAAGGATGAGAATGGCAAAACTGGGGAAAAAAGTTATCTGAGAGGTGTATCATCTACCTAAACATCCTTTGGAGAAGAAACTAAGAAACATTTGCCACCTTCTCTTCTGGGTATTTTGTTTCTTTTTTCCTGAGACTCCAGAAATTATAATTATAGCCATATTAAGCCATGTGAATAAGCAGTGCTCATTATTTGTGGGGAAAAAAATCCCAAAAAAGCTAGGGAGAACAAATGCTTAACTTTTCCAGTTACTTGACACAATTCAGTGGTGGGGGAGAAACCAGCATATTTTTATTGTATTGATACCAAAGCATTTCTAATAAGAGTGTGTTAAATTTAAAAATAAAGCTATTTAAAATAGCCTGACTATATTCTATTAACCAACATGGTAATTTTGCTAATACAAAGACTGAAAGATCATAGGAAGCCATTGCAACCTCATCACAGAAATATTCATCTTCAACCCCAACAAGTAAACATGACATCCCAAATCTACAAGGCATTAAGACAACCACATCCTCCTGCTAAGGACCAATGGATTTGGTAGAGACTTCAGATTCTTTGCACCCATCCCAAAGGTGCATGTCATAATTATCCTCATATTTTGGGACTAGATTTGTAGTATCTTGATAGTGTTCATGACTTTGTACATGACAATTGACACATTTATTATTCTTGAAGTATTTTTTTCTTTCATTCAGTTCAGTGTGAACTCCATGGTGTGATGACTGATTATGACCTAAGGCTATTAGATGGAGGACTTCCTGTATTCTCGAGGAATACAAATCTAGTCTAATGTTTGACCAATCCTTGTAAATATGTTAGAAGCCTAATATTAAGACTTAACAAGAATGTGTACAGCCCGTCACCTCTAAGATTTCTGCCAAGATGTTAAATCCTGATTTGAAAAATACTCCTATGCCAGTTCTCTCCTACTCCACCTTATTGTACTGTCCTCCACCCAACACTCTTAAAACCCATCTTCACACGTCTTCCCCTGGATCAGGCGAGTGCATATTATCCAGGTCCTGCAAGTCCTTCAGTAGTCTGTTTCTTCTCAGAGCAGAAACTGAATTTCTCTGGTGAAATTATGAGACCTTATCTTGGTTATTGGTGTGGAGGCAATGAGAGACAAAAGAAGCAGATCGATGAGGACAAGCTTAAACCTGCCAAGCATCAACCTCAGATGAATTGTTTGCAAGGGGCAGTTGTTCTCTAGCATAAGAGAATGCCTCTCTCTGCTGGCCTGGAATCTGGGAAATCTGGAGGTTCAAATTTCAGAGACACTGTGACACAAACAACCCTATCCCAGGTCCAATGGTCCCATTCCTTCCCTTTCATGGCTCTGACTTTAGTATAAGTGACTTGTCAAACCTGCACATTCTTTTGTAGGTCTGCCATCCTTGTGATTAAAGCATTGATTTTTGGTTTTGATTGTTTGTACACAAATATTTATTAGAACACTGCCTGGCACCTAGTAAGTGATCAATAAATGAATGAATAAATTAATGAATGGTTCAGAAAAGAAAAGATAGAGTCTACGAGGGGGCACTGGTAATACCAGCTGGCCTCAGGCAACATAAACCAGAATCTGGCTGGCAGATCTCTGGCCCCTTGCCACGGGTCCTGGTGCATAAAAATAGCCCAGCATGGCCAAAAGATACAGAAGGCTGGACTTGGCCTTTTATCTAGGGGTGAAGCTAGAGCTGCTGTGGAATTGGCTGCCAGGTGAGCAGAGGGGGGCTGCAAAGCAGGAACTGGTCAGTCAGGGCAGTTGCTAAGAAAGTGTACTACCCCACACTCTAACCCACCGACTCCTGTGCTCAGCGAAAACGGAAGTGAGGTGCCTTCTTGTGACTCTTGCCTCACAGCATTCCTCCAGCGCTTTCTGTTGGCAAAGCGTAACATTGTATCAGCTGGCAAAAGATGTTTACAGGGTCAAGATCACGAATCGGGCAAAGAATGTATTTGGAAATGAAGCATTAAATGATGATGATGAAGATGAAGCATTAAACTGGCACAGTCCATCCATTTTTCTACTCGAATATTTATCCTTCCACATACATTTGAACATTCGAGAAACCAGAAAACAACTACATCCAATAAGATGTAGCTATCTTTTATACGAAGATTTTACCCTCTCCCCAAAAGGAGACAGATACTCTCAAGAGTCCTTGCTTGTAGCCACAGCTAACTATGTTAGACATTACTTTTTTAAGACTTTATTTATTCATGAGAGACAGAGAGAGAGGCAGAGACACAGGCAGAGGGAGAACCAGGCTCCCCGTGGGGAGTGTGGTGCGGGACTCAGTCCCAGGACCCTGGGACCATGCCCTGAGCCGAAGGCAGACGCTCAACCACTGAGCCCCATAGGCATCCCTGAACATTACTTTCAAGAACAATTTTAGATTAACAGAAAGATTGAGAAGATAATACAAAGTCTCCATATGCCCACACCCAGTTTCCCTTATAACTAATTTCTTACATTAATTGGTATGGTGCACTTGTTGAAATTAAATGAACCAATAATGATACATTATTATCTCATAGTTTATTCAGATTTCCTTAGCTTTTACCTAATGTCTTTTTTTGTTGTTGTTGTTCTAGGATCCCACACAGAAAACATTACTTTTGTCATGTCTGTTATGCTACTCTTAAAAATTTCTTGTTTTTGATAACCTTGACAATTTTGAAAATTACCAGTCAGGTATTTTTGCAGGATGTCCCTCTGTTTGCAAATTATCTAATGTTTTCCTCATGATTAGAGTGGGGTTGTAGGGAGAAGACCACAGAGGTAAATTGACATTTTCACTGCATCATATCAAGGGTACATATATACCTTACATATATAAGGTACATATATGTCATATGTTATATGACATATATATATTATATATAATATTATACATATATATATACACATATATAATAACCATTACATTGGTGATATTGACCATGATCTCTTGCTAATGTGATTGTCAGGTTACTCCATTGTAAAATTATTTTATCCCCCTTCCTGTATGCTTTGGAAAGAAGTCACCATACACAACCCATACTTAAGACAGCAGGGAGTTACTCTTTCTCCTTGAAGGTAGGGAGTACCTATATAAATTATTTCAAATTCTTCTGCACAGGAGATTTGTCTATTCTTTCAATTTATTTGTATACTCAATCATTAATTTAAACCAGTATGGACTCATGAATGTTTACTTTACACCTGAGTTATAATCTAACTCAACACAATTTGTTGCTCTAATTTGTTTCATTTTGGGTCATTTCAGTTGGTTCCTCTATACCTTTGATGTATGCCCATAAATGCTTTGAACATGAGATGTCTTTCCATTTCATCAGATCTTTAGTTTCTTTCAATGATGTTCCGTACATTTCAGTGTACCAGTCTTGCATTTCCTAAGATTTATTCTTATTTTATTCTTTTTGATGTTATTATGAATGTAATTGTCTCCTGAACTTCACTTTCAGATTGTTCATCACTTGTGTTTGGAAATGCAGTCAATTTTTATACATTGATTTGGCATCCTGCAACTGCAACCATCCTGAATTCATTAGATCTAGTAGTTACTGGATTCCTTAGGATTTTCTATATATAAGATTATGTCATCTATGAAAAGTGATAGTTTGACCTCTTCCTTTACAATCTGGATGCCTTTTATTTCTTTTTCTTGCCTAACCGCCCTTGCTAAAATCCCCAATACCATGGTGATGCAAAACGGTGAGAACAAGCACTCTTTCTTGTTCCTGATCTTAGAGGGAAAATGTTCAGTCATTCACCATCAAGTATGATGTTAGCTATAGGTTTCTCTTAGATGACTTTATCAGATTCAGAAATTCCCTTTTATTTCACATTTTTTGAGTGTTTTATATCATGAATGATATAATATTCTCTTTAATTCTGTCCACTTTTTCTTCATGTGTTTTTGAAGTCTTGTGGTAGGAGTATATACATACTTATAACTGCAGTGTACTCATGATAAATGAATGCTTTAGTCATTAAGAAAGGTCTCCTTTTAGGACACCTGGGTGGCTCAGCGGTTGAGCGTCTGCCTTTGGCTCTGGGCTGCATCAGGATCAAGTCCCACATCAGGCTCCCCGTGAGGAACCTGCCTCTCCCTCTGCCTTTGTCTCTGCGTCTCTCTGTGTCTCTCATGAATAAATAAAATAATTTTTTTAAAAGAAGGGTCTCCTTTTATCTCTGATAATATTCTTGGCTGTAAATGAATTTATCTAGCATAAGTACAGATATTTCAGCCCCCTTGTGCTTACTATTTCAATGGTGTATCTTTTCCCACTCATTTGCTTTCAACCTATCTACCTCTTTATATTCAAATCACATCATGGGTTTTCCCTTTTTTACTAGTCTGACATTCTCTGCCCTCTAATTGGAGTATTTAGTCCACTAGTGTTTTTTTAAATTTTTTAATCTAAATTCAATTTGCCAACATATAGTATAACATCCAGTGCTCATCCCATCAAGTGCCCTTCTTAGCACCTGTCACCCAGTTACTCCATCCCCCTACCCAACTCCCCTTCCACAACCCTTTGTTTCCCAGAGTTAGGAGTATCTCATGGTTTGTCACTCTCTCTAATTTTTCCTCACTCAGTTTCTCTCCTTTCCCTTAAAATGCCTTTCACTCTTTCTTATATTCCATGTATGAGTGAAACCATACGATGATTGTCCTTCTCTGATTGACTTTTTACTCAGCATGATACCCTCCAGGTCCATCCATGTCAAAGCAAATGGTGGGTATTCATCCTTTCTGATGGCTGAGTAATACTCCACTGTATATATACACCACATCTTCTTTATCCATTCATCAGTCGAACGACATCATGGCTCCTTCCTTAGTTTGGCTATTGTGGACATTGCTGCTATAAACACTGGGGTGCAGGTGTCCCGGCATTTCACTACATCAGTATCTTTGGGGTAAATCCCCAACAGTGCAATTGCTGGGTCGTAGGGCAGGTCTATTTGTAACTCTTTGAGGAACCTCCACACAGTTTTCCAGAGTGGCTGCACCAGTTCACATTCCCACCAACAGTGCAGGAGGGTTCCCCTTTCTCCACATCCTCTCCAACGTTTGTTGTTTCCTGTCTTGTTAATTTTCACTATTCTCACTGGTGTGAGGTGGTATCTCATTGTGGTTTTGATTTGTATTTCTCTGATGGCAAGTGATGCGGAGCATATTATCCTGTGCTTTTTGGCCATGTGTCTGCTTTGGAAAAATGTCTCTTCATGTCTTCTGCCTATTTCATGACTGGATTGTTTGTTTCTTGGGTGTTGAGTTTGATAAGTTCTTTATAGATCTTGGATACTAGCCCTTTCTCTGATATGTCATTTGCAAATATCTTCTCCCATTCGGTAGGTTGCCATTTAGTTTTTTTGATTGTTTCTGTCACTGTGCAGAAGCTTTTTATCTTGATGAAGTCTCAGTGCATTTTTGCTTTTGTTTCCCTTCCCTTCATAGATGTGTCTAGCAAGAAGCCGCTGTGGCCAAGTTCAAAAGATTGTTGCCTATGTTCTCCTCTAGGATTTTGATGGATTCTTGTTTCACATTTAGATCTTTCATCCATTTTGAGTTTATCTTTGTGTATGGTGTAAGAGAATGGTCCGGTTTCATTCTTCTGCACGTGGCTGTCCAATTTTCCCAGCACCATTTAGTGAAGAGACTGTCTTTTTTCCAGTGGAGAGTCTTTCCTTATTTGACCATAGAGTTGAGGGCCCATTTCCGAGTTCTCTATTCTGTTCCACTGATCTATGTGTCTGTTTTTGTGCCAGTGCACACTGTCTTGCTGATCACAGTGTTGTGGTACAACTTGAAATCCGGCATTGTGATGCCCCCGGCTCTGGTTTTCTTTTTCAATATTCCCCTGGCTATTCAGGGTGTTTTCTGATTCCACACAAATCTTAAGATTATTTTTTCTAACTCTCTGAAGAAAGTGCATGGTATTTTGATAAGGATTGCATTAAATGTGTAAATTGCCCTGGGCAGCACTGACATTTTCACAATATTAATTCTTCCAATCCATGAGCATGGAATATTTTTCCATCTCTTTGTGTCTTCCTCAATTTCTTTCAGAAGTGTTCTGTAGTTTTTAGGGTATAGATCCTTTACCTCTTTGGTTAGGTTTATTCCTGGGTATCTTATGCTTTTGGGTGAAATTGTAAGTGGGATTGACTCCTTAATTTCTCTTTCTTCAGTCTCATTGTTAGTGTATAGAAATGCTACTTCTTTCTGGGCATTGGTTTTGTATCCTGCCACATTGCCGAATTGCTGTATGAGTTCTAGCAATCTTGGGTGGGGGAGTCTTTTGGGTTTTCTATGTACAGTATCATGTCATCTGTAAAGAGGGAGAGTTTGACTTCTTCTTTGCCAATTTGAATGCCTTTATTTCTTTTTGTTGTCTGATTGCTGAGG